TCTGTGTATTAATCTTAATTCTGCAAATTAAGGGACCTAGTCTATGGAACTCACTCCCTAGTGAATTGAAAAGCTGTCAAACTTTTACCTCATTTAAAAACAAAAACAAAAAGTACCTAATTTTATCTTCGTAGTGTCCTACACTGAGCTTTAAATTTGCTCTGTATCTAGTGTTACCCAATCTCCCAATCTTTATGTACTTAACCCAAACAACTTTATCATTGTGTTCATTGCTGTCTTCTTTTATGTGCTAGCCATAAAAGTATTGTGCCTAATAGTTTTTGTTAAACTACCATTCAAGCTGTCATTGCAATCAATCTGAGCTACCTATGTGCTTTAATATACCTACAATTTTCTCTCATCTTTTATTTGTTTTTTCTTGCTATGTACCTGTTATCATTTTTTATAAATTTTGCAAGTATTTACCTACTTAAAATTTTCTTAGATTAAGGTCCTGACCGAAACGCTGCGCGTACTAGTGGCTTTACAAGAATGTAATTACTATGGTATATATCCTCACAATCCCAGTGTACCTTCTTGTATATATATATATATATATGTCGTACCTAGTAGCCAGAACGCACTTCTCAGCCTACTATTCAAGGCCCGATTTGCCTAATAAGCCAAGTTTTCCTGAATTAATATATTTACTATAATTTTTTTCTTATGAAATGATAAAGCAACCCTTTTCTCTATGTATGAGGTCAATTTTTTTTATTGGAGTTAAAATTAACGTAGATATATGACCGAACCTAACCAACCCTACCTAACCTAACCTAACCTATATTTATAGGTAAGGTTAGGTTAGGTAGCCAAAAAAAGCTAGGTTAGGTTAGGTTAGGTAGGTTAGGTAGACGAAAAAACATTAATTCATGAAAACTTGGCTTATTAGGCAAATCGGGCCTTGAATAGTAGGCTGAGAAGTGCGTTCTGGCTATTAGGTACGACATATATATATATATATATATATATATATATATATATATATATATATATATATATATATATATATATATATATATATATATATATATATATATATATATATATATATATATATATATATATATATATATATATATATATATATATATATATATATATATATATATATATATATATATATATATATATATAAATAAATATATAATGAAACAAACACGAATGACAAAAGCATGTACAGCAAAACCTAAACCAGAAAACAGAATGTAGCAACTCATTGACATATGAAAATATTTGAAACATTTACTACCATTCATTCATAATTGAGGCATTTACTATTTCACACAATAAACGGCTTCTTGCCATACGTCCCCTTGTACTTTTATTTTATTTTATTTATTTATTTATAAATACAAGAAGGTACACTAGGCTTGTGAGAGTACATAATATTGATGTTTATACAGTGTTGCAAAGCCGTTAACACGCAAAGCGTTTCAGGTACGCTAAATAAAATGTTCTATATTAGTAAAATGGCATATTGTGGAACATAATGTTTACTACATAAATATAATTTGAATACTTATTTATAATCCAATATTATTCTCAGCATATTCTGTGCATATTCCATGGAATATAAATACAGAATTTATAACGATTCATGGACACCTAGTCAGCAGTGTTGGAAATAAATTTGTATATATCCAAAACAGAAGGATTATATAGATGGAGACTAAATAGCAGGGGTTATATATCGAGACTACATATACATAGAGACCAATTCAATTCAATAGAGACCAAGCAGAAGGAAGAGTAATAATTATTAATTATATTTTTATTAATTAATTATAATAATAATTGTAATTAATAATGATTATTATTCCTTCTGCTTGGTCTTGAAGGAAGCCGGCCTCGAGTGAAAGGGGGCTGTCTGGAATCAGTAGGAGCGGGGCTCGGAAGTCCACCTCCTGGGGCTTGTGCGGCCCTCAGGAGGCTGGGGTCGTTCTTACCCTTGCTGGGGTGGTTCTTCTCCTCCTTCAACCACGACGGTCTCCAGGTTTGGAGTTCCTGTGCCTTTTTTTTTTTTGGCCAACTTCGAGGTAACCTCCGGAGCTGGAGGTTACCCTAGGGCAGTTCGTTGTTGCCTTCAACCTCGTTCTGACTGTTCCTGCGACGGCGCTGGAACCAATCGTATTGGCGTTTACCTTTCCACTGGAGTCTTTCGGTGCCGTGGCGAGGGGGGACCTGCTGCGTGGGTGACAGCTCTCCCGTATCAACCTACCCTGGCTTTGTGCCCTGGACAGGCCACTCCAGACCGATAACCAAAGCGCAACTCCATAGTCTCCTGAGACTGATGGATGTCTACTACTACATATTTAAAGCTAGGTAGACAGGGGTATAAGGTTAAAGAAAACGCAACCAACCATTTCTGTGCCTCCTGGGATTCGAACCAGGAATTCTTGATTGTGAGTCGAGAACGAACCAGACTGTACTACAGGGACCTTCAAATGAGGGGACCTTTGACAAGCCGTCGGCTTCCTGTCTTCGTCGAGGCCACTATAGTATTAGGGGTCCCTCAGGTAAATTCAGGTAAAATGAATGCGTGTCTATAGATCGACTCATGACAGAGTTGCCTAACAAGCCGAGTTTCCTTAACTTTTTTACTTGTTATTTTGCCCCAGAGGGCTAGCTTATTGGACAACGGCATTCATCCCGAGTTTCCTTAAATATTACTGTTTTCGAAATAATATTCTTATTATTCCAAATATACGTAACGTTGGCAAAATACGCATAATTAGTAATTAATGTTATGGATATAATCACTTTATCTCACGAATAGATTATCTTTGTAAAGGTATTAGAAAATAAATAAAACCGTTCGTCAATGATAAGGAAAACTTCTGGACCAGAAAACTTCCTTTATGCAAGAGGTGCTGTCTTAACTGCTTGATAGGACATGTATGTGTGTGTGTGTGTGTGTGTGATTAAATTTGCGAGAACGGGTTGTGACATACTTAACATAATAGTTTCCCTTGAAAAGCTTCATAGAAAACACCGACCTTACCTAACCTACTTAGTATGTTAAGATAAGAATCTTATTGCTTCGTAATTACAATTATTACCTAACCTATACCTATAATAGGTTAAGTAACAATTGTAATTACGAAGCTATAAGATGCTTATTTTAACCTACTAAGTAGGTTAGGTAAGGTCGGTGTTTTCTATGAAGCTTTTCAAGGGAAACTATTATGTTTAGTATGTCACCTATGGACGCAACTAATAAGTCGATATTGACTTATTAAATTTGCGAGAACGGGTTGTGAGGATATGTGTTGTACCTAATAGGCCAAGTTGTCCAACATGCCGAATTTTCCTGAAATGATATACCTTAAGTTTTTTCTTATGGCTAATAAAAAGCTTTTACATACATTATATATATATATATATATATATATATATATATATATATATATATATATATATATATATATATATATATATATATATATATATATATATATATATATATAATATACAAGACATGAACATATCGATGCCAACACAGAAGACAATGTCCAACATAACAGGCCAATTACACTGGATTAATCTTTGTGTTTAGATAGGAGATGCCTCGTATGGGCCAATAAGCCTTCTGCAGCCCCTATGTTTATCCCTTATGTATCCCCCCATGTTTTCACCTTCATTGTATTATCACCTGACCTAATGCGGGTATATAATCAACTAGTATTGTAAGATCTGTTCACTTGAGAATGAACCATGGAGGTTCGAAACGTCGTGCAAATTATACAAATAAGTGTAATATACTCTATAGTAAATCACTTCTTTTCTTCACCTTAAAAGTACGAAAATGAGTTTTGGAGAACTCCTATTTCAATTAAGCCCTGATGCTAAGAAAATAGTTAGAGGGATAGAAGCCCTAAACCAGAAAATAATAAATACAGAATATGCGGTCATATTCAATGAAACATGTTTGAAAGAAAACCTGCTGCCAGTATACACCAATATATATATATATATATATATATATATATATATATATATATATATATATATATATATATATATATATATATATATATATATGTATGGCTTTAAACCCATGGAACTGCCATGGAATATATATATATATATATATATATATATATATATATATATATATATATATATATATATATATATATATATTTCCATGGCAGTTCCATGGGTTTAAAGCCATATATATATATATATATATATATATATATATATATATATATATATATATATATATATATATATATATATAATATGGCTTTAAACCTATGGAACTGCCTACCCGCCGAAGCCGTAAATGCCAAAATTCTGCTGAATTTTTAAAATCTAGCTTGAAAAAATCATCAGGATAAATGGGGGAACTTTGACAAATCGCCAGCTTCTTGTCCTCATCGAGGTCCCAAGAGCGTTAGTGGCTCTAAGGTAAATTCAGGTAAATGCCAAAATTGAATATTTTTTTTTTTAAATTTGAGTGTAACATAAAGTTGATCAAACCTTATCTCCCTAACTTATCCATATACTAATCTTACATAACAGCGTCAGTAAGTCATGATTTTAATATACTATAATAATAATTCGAATAAATTTGGTAGGAAATATTTGAAAATAACGGAAATCATTGTGCATTTTTAGGCAAGTCGGGCCTTGGATACTAAGTAGGCCAAGTAGTGTGGTTGACTGTTACGACATACATAAACATACATAGATATACATATACCTAGAGTATATAGAGTAGAAATAATGATTATATTATTGAGGAAAGGTGTACATGTATAAGCTCCGGGACCGTCGCCAGGGGCGGAAGGGCGGGAAGCCTCGCCGCCTTGCAGAGTTCAGTTCCCTTTCAAATCTAAACTCTATTTTGTTTTAGAAAGTTTTTAACGACTTTTACCACTTGCCAGTATGACAAGACGCTAATATTTTGGCGAAAACACCATGAAATTAGCTTAGTGGAGTTGAAGAGAGGGTAGAGTAGAGAGAGAGAGAGGAGAGGAGGGTATAAGGTTGCGCAGGCGGGCGGCGCACGTCAGGTGACCAGTGTGTGTTTACCAGCAGCCGCCGCCAGTCTCCTCACCACTCTATTGCGGGAACACCGTGACCTGCTCCTGTAACACCAGTCCTCTCTCTCTCCACACGCTACACTCACCACTACGTCATGGTGAGTGCCTCCTGCTGGGGCTCGGAGGGTAACATATGTGTCGGCTTCTGCCAGGGCTCTCAAGAGACACTTTTGGGGGAAAACAACGGTTAGTGGAGCCGTTGATGAGGGCGACACCCATGCTGTAGGCGGCGGCTGGTTACGTCATGTCACCCACCCGCTGGGTGACCGCACCCGCCGCTCTGTACCGCACTCTACAAGCACACACAAGTATGTGTGCGGGTGAGCAGTGCCTCCCTGCGGCCACTTGTGGCTCTCAAGTGCCGTGCTCCACACATGGCCCCGGGCGCTGGTTTTGAAAAACGGATTAAATTAATTTAAGTGGTTGTGGAGCGGTCATCCGCGGTAGTCCTAGCCTGACTAGTGACGTCACGGGCAGCCGCAGCGTGAGGTCACGGACAGCTGCACCATGACGTCACGGTGAGCCGCAGCGTGACGTCACGGGCAGCCGCAACGTGACGTCACGGGCAGCCGAAACGTGACGTCACGAACATCTGCACAATGACGTCACGGGCAGCTGCATCATGACGTCACGGTGAGCCGCAGCGTGAGGTCACGGGCAGCTGCATCATGACGTCACGGGCAGCTGCATCATGACATCACGGTGAGCCGCAGCGTGACGTCAGGGCCAGAGCTCGCCCACATGGCGGGTACTGCGTCGTTCCCGTAATTTTGATGTAAATAAAACTTGGCATTTCTTGGTTTTGGAGGATCGTAAAGGTTAAAGTGTTGCAAGAAATGATCATTCAGTCTGTAAGTGCCGGAATTCTTGACAATTTGACTTCTTGACAATTCTGTACAATTAGGAAAAGCAGCCGCCCAAACCGTTATCCTTGGGATAAACCTCGACTGACCCAAACGTACGTTGCAAGGTGTAGCATAGTGTAATGCCATATTTGTTATCACATTGCTGTGTATACCTAAGCTTGTTAATACATAAATTGAATCGCAATAAAACCACATTGACGTGATCTATCGGTAAAGTCGCTCTGTTGCCTCAAAATGATTTTCAACAAATTATTAATAATAGAGTATTTGAAATTCCCGTGTGTTATCCATATTTTCCTATTTCAAAGAAATGATAGATATATCACTAAGGTATTTGGACAAAAACAGCCACTCCTTATCCTGTTATAGTTAATAGTCCTGTCAGGGGGCAGGAAGCCAGTGTGTATGTGCTTTGTATCGAGGGTGTTCTCTGCCATCCCTTCAAGTACGATCTAGTGATCCCTGCTAAGGATGCAACCCCATGAGTTACCAAACTGCTGGGTACCTATTTACTGTTAGGTGAACAAACCCATCAAGTGAAAGGAAATGTGCCCACCATTTGTCCTGCCTGGAAACTTAATTCATTGTTGATTGTTAATTTTGTTGTTAAACCTAATGTTAAATATCCATCGAGGTTTGATAAAGACCTTTTTCTGACCTATGTAAATCTTTCTCTGCTACCTTGTACTCGCCCAGTTGTGCTTGCGGGGGTTGAGGTTTAGCTCTTTGGTCTGACCTTTCGACTGTCAATCAACTGGTGAACAGATTTCTGAGCCTACTGGGCTCTATCATATCTATGTTTAAACTGTGCATGGAGTCAGCCTCCACTACACTGCCTAATGCATTCCATCTGTTAACTACTGACACTGAAAAGTTTTCTAATGTCCCTGTGGTTCATTTGGGTACTAGGTTTCCATCCATGTCCCCTTGTTTGCATACCATCCATGCTAAACAGTTTACCTTTACTGTATCTACCCTGTGAGTTCCTCAGTTTTATAGGTAGTGATCATGTCTCTCCTAACTCTTCTGTCTTCCTGTATCATCAGGTTTAGTTCCAGTAATCTTTCCTCATAGTTCATTCTTCTCAGCTCGAGGACTGGCCTGGTGGCATACCTTTTAAACTTTTTCTAACTTAGTATTGTGTTTGACTAGATGTGGACTCCACGCTGGAGTTGCATATTCCAGTATTGGTCTGACATATGAGGTATACAAGGTTCTCAATGATTCCTTACACAAGTTTCTGAAGGCAGTTCTTATGTTCACCAGCCTGGCATAAGCCGCTGATGTTATCCTTTTGATGTGGGCTTCAGGGGACAGGTCTGGGGTGATATAAACTCCCAGATCTCTTCCTGACTCCTGAAGGATATCCTCTTCCAGCTGGTACCTTATGTTTGGCCTCTTGTTCCCTACGCATATCTTTATCACTTTGGTCATCCTGTAGCCTCTTGCTGTCCTCCTCTGTCTTAATCTTTCTCGTAATTTTAACATAATCGGCAAACATTGAGAGGAATGATGAGTATACCTTCTCGAAGATCATTCACGTATATAAGAAACAAAATGGTCTGAATACAGAACCACTATTCTTTTCATTGAACCTTAATGTTCATGGGGAACATTATGGGGAGATGGGGAAACGACGACGTTTTGGTCCGTCCTCGACCATTATTAAAGTCATGTGATAGAGGAGAGGTAATTGAGTTATTGATGAAGATTAAGTGGGCCTGCGGGCCGCTCCAAGCAACAGCCTGGTGGACCAAACTCTCACAAGTCAAGCCTGGCCTCGGGGCCGGGCTTGGGGGAGTAGAAGAACTCCCAGAACCCCATCAACCAGGTATCAACCAAGGCTGGCGCACGCAGCATGAGCTAACAGCGTTGCTGTTCAGCTTGTGACCACAGCATTGCCTAAAAATGTCAAAATAAATATGTAACTCCTATTACAGTATATAGTAATAACAATGTTACAGATGACGCCTGACTGACAAAATTAACTGGGATTGTGATAATAGCAGGATTGTTGTGATAATTAGTGCTGTGTGGAAGTAGTAATGCTGTGGGGGAGAGGGAGATAGCATTGTTTACTGACTGTGTGGCCACCTATATTATTGTCTGCATTGACCATACCAGCTCAATGGTTCTCTATGGTGTACACAAATGTAGATACTTGTATATAATGTGTGTATTAGTGTAATAACAACAAAAGAATTATGTTGGGAGAGCCATTTGGGTGACAGAGGGGGCGTTGTCTGCATGACTGGTCTAGCTGTGTAGAGGGTGGCCACTATGCACTCTACAAGCTTAGGTGTACAGTTACGGTGCCTGCAACATGTAGATACTTATATGTGTGTGAATACTGTAGTGTAATAACACCCCAAACAGTATTGTTGGGGGAGAAATTTAGTGCACCTGACTTTGAATGAGTGAGGGAGGCAGCCACCAGCTGACTGTGAGTGTAGCGATGTGTCTTAGTGCATGAACTAACTATATCAGCTTAGTTGTACAGTTGTGGTGAACAAAACATGTAGATACTTGTATATAATGTGTGTGTATAGTGTAATAACTGCAAAATTGTTTGTTTGTTGTTTTATGAACCTAATTATTGAACCACTAATATGAACACCATACTTTTAAGTATAGCGATGATTCACACATTTTATTATATAAATCTATCACACTACACACTATTGAATAATATTACTGCAAAAAAACTAAAAAAAAATCACATTGAAATAATTAGGTAATATCTTTGTGGCAACTGCCACCTATCAGCTCGGGTGACGCTGACTGCTCTGTCAACACCCACATTTTGCCAGACTTCCTCGGCCTATTGCGCCCAAAATATGTCGCCTACGATTTTTTTTCCCTCATGCTCAGGGAACACACATTAACATTTTTAGAAGACGAAAAAAATTTTTTTAATTTTTTTCTTGCGCACAAGGGTGCAAGTCTCCTCAAGACCCACACCTTAGCAGCTTAAGGGTTAAGTTGTTCATATACTGTATATGAACAACTTAACTCAATTTCTTGTACATCACTCAATTAACTTATATATCACTCAATTTAACGGCCTCTTTTATACCGATCTGCCGGTAATAACTACCGGTTTGGGAACTCAGTACCTGGAGCCTCGTATGCCAGTTTGGCGGTCGATATTACAGATGGTCGGTATTGGGTTTGTTTTGGCATCGGCGGCCCCTCGCATGGCGACCAGGCCACTGACCTCGATCATCCAGAGTCGTATATTAAATCTTGACTTTCTTTTAAAATGATTGTTTAATGAAGAAAATTCTAAATTATTATTAACCCCTGCACTGCGCAAAGCGCCTTTAGGCGCTCTGAGAGTTGTGCTTTTTTTTTTCATCAGGCTATATTTTAATGTTTTTTTAATGTTTTCATTACTCTTTATGTTTTTAAATGAAAATAGTTGAGTTTGGAAACATTTTGACATTAAATTTACTTGAATATTTATAAAAACAACAAGAATATGTCCTTGACAATTGCCCCAAGAAGTTTTTGCCGAAACCAGGTGCGCAGTGCAGGGGTTAATAAAATATTTTGAAACAATTGTTATTAAGCAAAATTCTTTTTATTAAATACCTTTTATAGTATAGGCAATAGGTATTTTTTTTCCACGGACCTGCGCTGGGCCATGTGTCTGCATTGTTTACTGTGAACTCGTGCGACTGAGACAATTTCTCGGAATATTAGCCAGAGAAAATCAGATTCAGACAAAAGTAGATAAAATGATGATTTCAACGGTTCGTGAAAGCACCCGCTGGGAATTCAACAAGTCGTGCAGCCTCCGTTGGCAACGAATGCTCTGCAAGCTATGCTGCACCCGCCGATGCTGAATTCCGATCGACAAGTCGCTGAGCATCCGCCGGTAACGAATGCTCTGCAAGCTATGCTGCACCCGCCGATGCTGAGTTCCCATTGACAAGTCGTGGCGCATCCGCTGGCAACGAATGCCCTACAAGCAGGCGATAAGTTGCAATAACGTGACTAAAGTATGTTGACCAGACCACACACTTCGAGGTGAAGGCTCCCTTCACCTTCTAGTGTGTGGTCTGGTCAAAATGCCCTACAAGCCATGTTGCACCCGCCGATGCTGAATTCCCGTTAACAAGTCGTACAGCCTCCACTAACAATATAAAAATATGATTGAAAGGTATATAAATTAGTATAAAAAGTTTTGATAGAGTACAGTGTTAATGATTATTTATGCCTTGACAAAA